ATGAGTTTAATCATATCTAAATAGTTTTCCCCATGGCTTAGCTTCACTTTTTTTAGGACAATTCTGAAATAAAATTTTACTTCATAAACATAAACATATGTTGTCTTTATTTCGATTTCAAACAATTGAATGCAATATATATTTAATGATTGCAATCAGTCTCCACTAGAATACATGGACATTGGAAGTGTGATTAGTTTTTTTGTCATAAGGTTATAATTGACTTTGAAAGATTTCCCTATACTCAAGACCTGGGTGTCATAGATTAATCCCATCTTGGAAAAAATGAATAAAGACCATTCAATCTGTCCATTCTTAGACAAATACGTCTGTAGGGCTCTTCCATTGGCTGGCTCTTGGGCTGCTCAGCGGCTGCCTGTGAGTGCTCCTTATGTGTCTTATTCAGGTTGAAGGCCATCTTCAAATTCACTTTCGGAATCAGAATACTATAACTAGACTATATGTATATGTATATATACATATATTCTATACTACTACTGTGATGTAGAGGTTTTATGTCCTTTGTCCCAACCCCTTAATTTGGGTGATGTTATTTTAAAAGAGCGGAAAGTGAGAGCAAACAACTTCACTATGCTTAAATTATTAATGACATAAAACATTAAAAGATATAAAATAAATCACCCGAGTTAGTTTCTTATGTTTGGAAGTAATGAGTAACTTCAATCATATCTAAATAGTTGAACTAGTGAAGGAGAAACTCAGCTTTCGGTAGGCGTTTGATGCTGTTAAAATGCTGACATCTGCTGCCAGCCCTTGATATTACATTTACAACACATACTTTGTCCCATTATAAAGGAAATGAGTCTAGTATTTCTAGTACTGCATGTAAACAGTTCATTGTGTCATTACACTCTTTTATTCTCTCTTGTCAGTTCATGAAATCCACTTTAATCTGAGGATCCAACAAGAGCTGAATGGAGGAAAGAATGTCTTTCAGGAACATAGCTGCGGGGAAAATTACATGATGGTAGATTTAAAATAAAAACAACGAGATGATCTATTGTATTTGTGTTTTATTACGTGCATGAATACAATTCAATGAAACTTACAAGAGGTAAAACTTCAATTAAACTCCAAATAACATAGGATTAAAGTTATGAGTAAATGGTGTTGCTTTGGTCATTTAAGTGTACATACTGTATATCCTTGCCTCTATTCACACAGTGGATCTTAGCCTAGCTGACATTATTTACATTTTACAATAATCATAAAATACATGATCATATAACTGTTACTTGAACAGGTTACAGCAGAATACATCCTCAATCTCCAGTAAAAAATGTAACACCTCTTACATTTCACAACATGAAACCTACAGTCAAATTTTCTGATGCTGACAATAAAGACCCTATTTTTGTCCTCTAAATTGGGACTTAAAAGCTGCATTTCTCTGCCTGCTTTGGATGAATTTTGGAGCCTGTTCGGGGTATTCAGTTTGTGGATTCAGTATCGAAATGGGACACAGTAAACGCCTACATTGCCTTTACATGTAGTTTAGCTGACGTTTATCCAAAGCGACTTATAATTATTTCACTCAATAAATGGATTGTAAGCTTCTACATTTAGAGCAGCAAGTGATAGAGATTAATAGTGATTGGTAACAGTGGTAATTTCTTTCCAACTCACTCCCTCCTGCTTGAAGGACTCATAAGGAGGGACTTTACTTAAACACAAGTGCTCAGTGCTCAATTGATTACAGTAGTGCTAGCCACGCCTCGTTAATCGGCACCACAATTACCCTGATGGTGATGGCCTTATAAGAAAACCCGTTTCCACTGACAGCTCAAACTAAATAAAAATATACAGATCATTGAAGCTGTGTGATTTCTAAAGAATCATCTTTAAACAGTTTAAGAACAAGTCTCTTAGTAGCAACATTGGGTTTTTGGTAACCCTAGCTTGAACAAAGAAAGAAAACCCATAGAAATTTGTCTACCAAGAGTACAAGAATACACTAACTTTGACAGTTTCCTGACACAGCACAAATTATTAACACCGATGATTAAAGATCAATACAACAAAAAAGCTCAAACTAATAGATTATAGTCAGTCACAAAGGAACAGCACATGATTAGAACCAACACAGTAGACAGTAAATATGCACTTATCCCACTACTGTTACAGAAGTCAGAATGCATACTTGTGCTGCTACAATCTACAAAGGAGGCCACTTTGATGCTATCTAATCCTTTATCAACTGCTACAAAAGTTCTTGTTTTGAACAATGTATGTTAGGCCAAAACAAACTAGTAAAGAGAACCAACTCATTATATCCATTAAGTTGATATATTTACTTTTATATTGGCTGTTTTTGAAGCTCACACTAACCCTACCCAAATATGTTTTATGACCAACAAAAATATGTGTTAGTATGATTTGGTCAATTATGACAAATGCTGCTCTGTATAAACCTCTGACTTGTGTTATCTATTCGATTTTTCAATGCTATTCAATTTTAGTTGTACTAGCGTAGCCAATTCCATAACAAGTTATCACACCGGACACTTTTCAAATTTTATATAGTTGTCATACTGGCAAATTGGCATTTCTACTTCGACATTCTCTTCCACAGCCTTTTCATTAGAGCTCTCCATGGCTCCCAGGCTGAGATGTTGTTGAAGTTGCTTTATTTTTATTGATCTGATATCAAATTGATCTGCACACATTTTCCATATTTAGTTTGTATAAATGAAGAAAAGGCGCAATTGCAAGTTTGGGGGAAATAAATCTGTCCCATCATAAGGCGGCCCCCCGGACTGAACGGTTGGGAGGTTGCTGCTTTTAACCACCACCTCAAGTCCCTTCTGTCTCTGGAAAAGTGATGAAAGACAATCAGTTGACAGGACATGCATCATTAGACTATTTTTTAACTGAGAGGCCTGGTTCTGTACTGAGCAGAATACTTCTCTACCTGAGAGACTGCTCTATGCTATATCACACAAAGACACAGACGAGTTAGATATGTCAAATGCTTAATCCCTGAATGCAGGGATGTAGACCGGCTCTGTGAATGTGGTCTGGAAGGTGCGGAGGTGGGTCAGCTGACCTGAGGACACACTGTAGAAAGACAAGAGTGCCAAGCAGACCAGTCCAGGTACACTCCCACTCTGACTGTGGGGAATGCGGATGGATGCTCTTTTGTTCTTGTCCAGGACAGAGTAACCACTATCAGAGCAGCGCAGACTCCAAAGGACAAGTCATTCATTCCAAGACAGGACTCGTCACCTTCTCCTCTCCCTTTTGATTCCCTCTGGCGAAGTCACTGCTATATAAACCTGTCCTTCATACTCAACCTCCCAGTAACAGCGACCAGTCAAACCTTCCAAATTTTTTTGCAGCAGCTGTTTCCAGTGATCAAATCTCTCCCGGTCATCAGGATGCGGCTCCGTCTCTTTACCCTGTCACCTTTTTTGTTGTGGTTCGACAGTGCGAGCTTTCTGTTTGCTGTGTTTGGATTCAGTGTGTGAGTTCACAGGCGTCTGGTCCCAGAGAATAACACAAAAGATAGTAGCACTTTTTTCCAACACTGAATCTAGATTAAAAACTTCTCCTCATTATTAAAAAATCACACTTACACTTCCTCAGACCAGGTTTCATTGACTGTGGCGATCCCACACATGAATTCCACCCTGCAAAAACAGTCAGATCAGCACTTAGGAACTTTAATGAAAACTGTCATCAGTGTTTGTGGAATATCCAGAGACATTGGTTCTGTTAATATTTATATTCTGAAGTGTAATGTTTTATAACTGTAATCTACCAAAAACTAAATTAACACAAGTTCAGAAATGAATATCTATAAAGGTGAGAAAAAAAAACTAAAGATTTCTGCGAATTAGTTTTATAAATGTATTATTTTTTTTAGCACTTATTTGGGC